GTCTTTGGTTAATGTAGTCTCACATCTTGATGTGCCAAGGATGCAGGTTGATTCCTGGTCAGGGCACATATAAGAATCAACTAATAAATATGTAAATAAGTGGGACAACAAGTTGATCTTTCTCTCTCTCTCCCTCTCTCTAAAATAAATTAATAAAATGTTTGAAGTACGAATAAGGATAACAGTTGCTTTGCTTCTCTTTTTCCTCTTCTTTCCATCCTTCCCTTCCTTCTTTTGCATTTGCACAGTGTTTTCTCTACTTTCAATGTTTTTCCCCTGTATCTTGGTTTCCTTTTTTTCTCTTTTGCCTTCCTACCCCCATTCAGGTGTACTTTGGCAATATGCTGGGAGCTGCTTGAAATCCACAGCTGTGAGAAACAGATATTTTACAGGGCTCACGCCCATTCTTGCCTCTTTCTCTTCATCTCTTTTTCTTTCTTCTTCTTTTTAAAATTTATAAATGATGTTTATTCTATTACAGTTGTCTCAATTTTTCCCCCTTTAGGCCCCTCCACCCATCTTACCCCCACCCCCTGCTCCCACAGTCAATTCCCACTCTGTTGTCCATGTCCATGGGTCATTCATGCATGTTCTTTGTCTAGTCCCTTCCACTTCTTTCTACTATTGTCCTTTTTCTCTAACCCCTCTGGTTACTTTCAGTCTTCTCCATGTTTCCATGCCTGTGGTTTAGTTTGTTCATTAGTTTATTTTGTTGAATAGAGTCCATTTATAGGTGAGATGATATGGTATTTGTCTTTCATCAACTGGCTTATTTCATTTAGCTTAATATTCTCCAGTTCCATCCATGTTGTTGCAAAAGGTAGGAATTCCCTCTCTCTCTCTCTCTTTCTTTCTTTCTCTCTCTTCTTTCCTTCCTTCCTTCCTAAATGCAGATGATTATATTTATTTTTTAAATGTAAAAGTTAATTATAAAATATTAAAACATTTAAAACCATTATAAAGTCTTAGCAATTAAACCAACATAATACCAGCACAAAAATAATCAAGTACATCAATGAAATACAAGGAACATTCTAGAGACAAATATATATATCTATCTAACAATGTAATATATGATTAAGTTGATATTTCAAATAAATGAGGAAAATAAGGCTTATTCAACAAATAAGGTGCATGGACCACTATTACTTGAAATAAAACAAGTATAGAGCTCTATTTCACACATTATACAAGAAATGTTCAGGTGAATTAAAAATCAATATGTAGAATCTAAGGAGTTTTAGGAGAAGATACAAACTAATATTTTTCTCACCCTGAAGTAAAATATTCAAACCCAGAAGCCATAAGTAAAATACTGATGATATGACTATATTAAACATTTAAGACTGTACAGGAATATACATATAAAAAAAGTTAAAGGACAAGTAATAGAATAGGAAAGTATTTGCAACACATCTAAAAAAGGGTTATTTTTTCTTTTAGGGAAAAAATTCTACAAACGTTTAATCAAAAAATGGATAAAGGATTCCAAAAAGTCATTTAAAGCTTTTTAAAAATAATAGAAATAGGCAAGAAATATACAAAAACAGGTTTAGTTTGAACAAAGAATAAAGGAACAATTAAAATAACACATCATTGTCACAATCAGATTAATATGTATTAAAAATATTGGTAATATCAAGTATTGGCAACTGTGAAAGGAACTGGGTATTCATAGACTCTTTTTCTTCATTTTCTTAACGCAGTCCCTTTAGCGTGTTTTGCAATGCTGGTTTGGTGGAGGTGTATTTTTTTAGCCTTCTTTTGTCTGGGAAACTCCTTATTTTGCCTTCCATTTTAATGGAGAGCCTTGCTGGGTAGAGCAGTCTTGGTTGCAAGCCTTTGCTTTTCATTACTTGGAATATTTCTTGCCACTCCCTTCTGGCTTGGAGTGTTTCTGTTGAGAAGTCAGCTGCTAGCTGTATGGGGGCTCCCTAATATGTTACTACCTGTTTCTCCCTTGCTGCCTTTAAGATTCTCTCTTTGTCTTTGATGTTTGCTATTTTAATGAGGATGTGTCTTGGAGTGGGCCTCATTGGGTTCCTCTTGAGTGATACCTTCTATGCTTCCTGGACTTCTATGACTTTTTCTCTCCTCCAGTTGGGGAAGTTTTCCATCATTACTTTTTCAAACAAGTTCTCTATCCCTTCCTCATCCTCTTCTTCTCCTTCTGGTATCCCTATTATACAGATATTATTATGTTTCAGGTTGTCCTGCATTTCCCTAAATGCCTCTTCATTCTTTTTGAGTCTTTTTTCATTTTCTTGCTCTTTCTGGGAGCTTTTTTCTGTCTTGTCCTCCAGCTCGCTGATTTGATTCTCGGCTTCATTTAGCCTGCTTTTGATTCCTTCTACTGTGTTCTTCAATTCAGAAATTGTATTATTCATTTCGTTTTGTGTCTTATTGATAGTTTCTATGTCCTTTTTCATGCTGATATAGTTCGGAGTAAGTTCCTTGTAATTCTCCTGTAGTTTTTGGTAATTCTTTCTGAGCTCACTGAGTTCATTGAGCTTCCTTATAACTGTTGTTTGGAACTCAATACCTGATAGTTTACTTGCCTCTATTTCATTTAGTTCTCTTTGTGGGAAATTTTTTAATTACTGCTTCAGTTTCACTAGGTGTAATTTGTCCATTCACAGTCTCTGATTCTTCCTGATTTAGTTTTGGAAGATTGTATGTTTCTAGGAATTTATCCATTTCTTCCAGTTTTTTTGGTATATAGTTGTTCATAAATTTTTTTTAACAATACTTTGTATTTCTTTGGTGTCATTTGTTATTTCTCTTCTTTCACTTCTGATTTTATTTGTTTTGTTTATTTTCTCTTTTCTTCTTGATGAATCTGATTAAAGGTTTGTCAATCTTGCTTATATTTTCAAAGAACCGGCTCTTGAATTCATTGAACTTTTGTATCATTTTTTAGACTCCATTTAATTTATTTCTGTTCTAATCCTTATTATTTCCTTCCTTCTATGTGCTTTGGGCTTTGTTTTTTGTTCTTTTTTTAAGTTCCTTTAAGTGTGAAGGTAGATTTTTTGTTTGTACTTTTTCTTGTTTTTTGGAATAGGCCTGTAATGCTGTGAATATCTGTCTTAAGATTGCTTTCCTAGTGTCCCACAGATTTTGGATTGTTGTGTCTTCATTTTCATTTGTTTAAAGGTATCTTTTGATTTCTTCCTTGATCTTCTTGTTGACCCATTCATTGTTTAATAACATGTTATTTAGTTTTCATGTCTTTGCTGGTTTTTCAGTGTTCTTTTGATTGATTTCTAGCTTCTTAGCGTTGTGGTCAGGGAAGATCCTGGATATGATTTCAATCTTCTTAAATTTATTGAGACATTTTTTGTGTCCTAAGATTGAGTCTATCCTAGAAAACATTCCCATGTGCACTTGAAAAGTATGTATATTCTGCTGCTTAGGGATGAAATGCTCTGAAGATATCAATTAAATCCATTTAATATGGTATATCATTTAAGGCCCCTGTCTCTTTGTTGATTTTCTGTCTGGAAAGTCTATCCATTGAAGTCAATGGGATGCTAAGATCCCCAACTATGACTGTTTCTGTCAACCTCTCTCTTTATGTCTATCACGACTTGCTTCGCATATTTAGGCGCTCCTACATTGGGTACGTAAATGTTTACTTGGGTTATATCCTCTTGTTAGCTTGTTCCCTTTGTCATTATGTATTCTTTCTTTGTCTCTTACTATAGCCTTGGTTTTAAAGTCTCTTTTGTCAGATATAAGTACTGCTACCCCAGCTTTTTTTCCCCTTTCTATTTGCATGAAATATATTTTCCCATCCCTCTACTTTCAGTCTGTGTGTACATTTGATCTCAATGGGCCTCTTGGAGGCAGCATATATATAGGTATTGTTTTCTTATCCATTCAATTACCCTAAGTCTCCTGGTTAGAACATCTAAGCCACTTACACATTTAAAGTGATTATTGATAGATACGTATTTAGTGCAATTCTATTCTTAGACTATTTCCTTCTGTTTTTTTCTTTATCTTTTCTTCTTTTTAAAGCAAGCCTTTTAACATTTATAGCAATAGTGGTTTGGTGTTAACAAACTCCTATAACAGTTTATGGCAAGTACTGTTGTATACTCCTGTTTTCTAGTATTGCTTTGAATTTATTTCTGTTTTCTTTGGTTTCAATTGTTACATGCCTTTTTTTTTGGTCCTCCGTGTCCTCTTAAAGTAGTTTTTCTTAGTATATTTATTTGAGTCTCATACAGATATTTGTCTCACTAACTAGCTAGTAAGCTATCTTTCTCTAAATTCTACTTGTTCTAGTCTTTTAAAAAAGCACACTCTCCCTATAGTAACCTCCTTTGCTTGTTCATATCTCACATTGGAAAACAGATAAGGAAAATGTACAATTTCTTGTGTAATTTCCCTTTAAAAAGTACAAATGGAATATTGAATACAAATTACTTCTGGGTTTCTGGACTTACTTGCTTTTAATATCCACTATTTATTACCACAAATCAATAATAGTAATTTGTACTTACTTTATCTTACTGATTAGTGAGAATTTAAGTGACTTATATTCCACTGGATTTATTCATTGATTCTTCCATTCAATAAATATTGATCAAGCTCCTATACATAGTATTTATAGAAGGTTTCAATTTATGTTTGTTGAATGAATATGTGCAATGTGCCAGGCACTGTCTTAATAGCAGAAACACAGAGGTGAGTAAGATATGCAGGGTCCTTCCTTTAGGGGAGCTTCAATTTATGGGTGTATGTGTCAGTGTCTGTGTTTGTATTTGTAGTGGAGCGTGGAGTGATAAACAAGTAAACAGATAAAGTAATGCCAGCTGGTGACACAGACTAGGATCCAGTGAATGTCTCTAACTCAGACCATTAGATTGATTATGAGGTCCATGTTTTCACTTGTCATTGGACTGAGCCAAGGACCCTAAATTACCTGGTTGTGGGGCAGACCACATCCAGCTGTCCCTGATCCAGTGCTTCCCCATTGTCTGCTTCTGCAGGAATGAGACCCAAGAGCTGTCCCACTGCTGCCCCCTGCACAGGTACATCTGCCCCTCCCACCTCCCCTGTGGGCTCCCAGGGTGCCTTCTTTCCCCAGGGGTGGTAACAGGAGGTGCTGCCACTTTGTCAGACAGAGACAAGCTCCGACTCAGGGATGGAGACACCGAGTGCTCAGGGCGAGTGGAGGTTTGGCACAGTGGCTCCTGGGGCACAGTGTGTGACGACTCGTGGAGCCTGGCAGAGGCCGAGGTGGTGTGTCAGCAGCTGGGCTGTGGCTCTGCCCTGGAAGCCTTGCAGGAGGCAGCGTTTGGCCCAGGAGATGGGGGTGTCTGGCTGGATGAGGTGCAGTGCAGGGGCAGGGAGTCCTCCCTGTGGGCCTGTGCTGCGGACCCCTGGGGGCAGAGCGACTGCAAGCACGAGGAGGACGCTGGAGTGAGGTGCTCCGGTGAGTGGTGGAGCCTGGGTTGGGCTCTGGTTGGGCTGGAGCAGGGGTGGAGCAATGGGCTGGGTTGGGGTAAGATGGGCAGTTTGTGTTCAGGAAGCATCTAGGGGCCGTGACCTTGGATTAGGAGAAGGGGAGTTGGGAGGACTCAATATTGATATTGTGGTAGCCAAAGGGAGATATTAGGGCTCAGGTAGGAAAAATAGACTATCCTGCATCCTGTCCAGTTCCTGTGCTTCAAACTCTTATTTTTCTCCCTAGGTAAAAGATCAATATTGTCAACCACTGCAGCAGGTACAATGTGACTATCAATGCTTTGGTGAATGTTAAAATTCTTGGGACACATTCTATAGAATCTCTGACAGAATTAGCCAACTCAGGAAAGGAAAGATCCTGAGGAGTGACTGGGTGGTGGGGAGTTATCAAGGTATTTTCCTTGGAGAAACTTCTCCTTCCTTAGTTCACTGTGCCAGAAGTTTCTCATGCCCTCAGGCCATGGGAGGCTGGCTCTGAGTATTTCTTTGCCTGCCCATGATTGTGGCTCCTCAGCAGCCAACACCTATGACAAGATTGTCTGATGCTCTAGTCTGGTGAAACCCAAGAGAAGGGGCTGAAGCTGAGCCTGAGCACTCAGCGATTGTTGTGATTCCAGGGCTCCCTGATAATTTCCAGCACTCCTGTGGACCACACTGGAGAGGAGTTGAACTTATCTCAGGACATGGCCTGGGACAGTGCCACCAGCATGGCAGTCAGTCAGTCCCATTATGATGGAAGCTAGGACTTTCCTGTCCTGAGCTCCTTGGAAATGTTAGTTAAGTGAGATTCCCTATACCTATGCCCTTCTCCAAATCCTCTTGGCTTTGTTCTTTTTAGGGACCAGATCTGGCCTAAGTCCTGGCCCTGGTATCTTCTCCCTGCCTAGGATCCTTTGCCTCATCCTGGGGGCCCTTCTCTTTCTGGTCTTCGTCATCCTGGAGTTTCAGCTGCACAGATGGAGAGTTGAGCACAGAGGTGGGCTGCAGGGGGTACTGGACAACATGGAAAGGGTGTGGAGGCAGGAAACCGGGCCAGAGGTGCCATGTGGAAACAGAGCAATGCATTTGGTCTCACTCCATTAGTTTGACACACCCATCCGCCCCTCATTAGCTGCTAAAGGCTGAATAGACAGACATTTTAGAGAGTGGGGTGTGAGCACTCATAAATCATGGCTTTTTATGTGAGACAGGAAAGAGTAGGAGCTGGGCTTTGGCTACAGGGTCACACAAAGGTGGTAGGTGCAGACATGGTGCAGGGGTATAAGACTATACAGGGGCCCTGAAAACCGTGAAGGTTTTTCCGTTTGTGAGCATAGGGTACAATGAAAGATCAGCATGTTGGCTTAGAGCTATGTCAGGGGGTAATCTCTGACCTGCTGGTGGTTTTCCCTGCCGTATCCAGCTTTGAAGATGCTCTTGATGAGGCTGTGTACGAGGAGGTTGATCATCTTGTAACATTGAAGACAGAGGATCTCCTGAGCAGCCCACGTGAGTGTCTCTGCCTCAACCTCTTGCGACCTCTACTTCTCAGCCATCCACTGGTTGTGAGCCAGGTCTTCTCAGCATCTGCAGGTCCCACATATACCCCAGGCTCACAGAAGCAGGAGGAGCCTCTCCAGAGCCCCTGTATAGCTCTGAGCTTCCCCTGACACCACGAGAGCCATGGTAACCCAGCATTTCTTCTCAGCCTTCCTGTGGAGCCTCTGGGTATGTTGTTCTGTTTGTTTTTATGATGTTTTTCTCCACATGGATCTCTGTCAGATGACTTAGTGACAAAGCTGGTATATTACACCAGGGATGGTGAGGAAAATAGTGACTATAAATCTGTTCTAGGTAGTAGAGGTGGACCTGTCTTGACTGGGTATTGGAGACAAGGGAACTTCCCCCAGAGATGAGAGCCGGGGGAATAGTCTCCCTTTGCTGAGATGAGAGGGCTCCCTTGTCTCCCTGGGCTCCAGTCTCCCTCTTACCTGGCTGCCCTTCAATGCTCCCTGTTGGGGCCAGGCTCTCAGTGTCCAGAACCACCCTCATTCAGCCACAAGAGGCACAAATTGTTTTTAAAAAATAACACTGGGAAAGTATAACCTGATAAAGTATTTTAGTAATGGTCTTTGGTATAAGAGTTGCTTTGAAAAATATTTAGTTTTAATCAAGAAATACTGAGGTATTTGGATCATTTGCCAGTTTATTGGCACATAAAAATGAAGTGCATGGCCTTGGAACACCTGTTAAAGCATGGGGTCAATGGTAACCTGTTTAGCAGCCATCAGAATCTCTGGGTCAGAGAGGACTTACGTATTGCCTAAACTAACTCATTTACTGTGCTTTCACCTGATCCCCTTGTCTGCCCATAGAAGCCCCAGCTCAGAGGACTGATACCTTTAGCGACAGTTATGATGATGCAGAAGAGGTACCAGTGCCCAAGGCTTCTTCTGCTTCTCAGATGGGTGAGCAGGACATGCCTGCAGAGGAGAATGGGGTGAGAGCTTCTCAGGCAGGTGAGTGGGATTAATTGAACCCTGTCGTATTTTGTCTCTGGCTTGGTCAGGGTGAATTTGGACTTCTTAATGCCCATTCTTCTTGTAGACTCAAAATTTGGATGACCTCATGTTATCGAGAGTACTACTGAGATCATATGCTTTTCTTTAATGCTTTCACATTCCTTGGAAGGGAGGATGCACTCTGTAGTGTTGGAAGCTATATTTCTATAACTTCATCCTTGATGTGCCTATGTGAAGATTTGTCGATTAATTGAGGGTATTTTCCAAATCCAAAAATGGAACAACTTGTAATATTTTTTGTCATCTCTTACATAAAAAGCAGTTAAAGGTGTAAAAAATATTGCTGTATTGGAATTTGTGAGACATTTTGATAATTTAAGATGGACTGTGATCATATGTTAACACTGATATGTACAAGGTCTACGATTATTGTGGTCTAAAAAATTAAAGTCACGTAGTGGATTATAGACTCAGAATTTGTAGGCAGCTAAGATCTAATGTGCACCAGACATTTGCAAGGCCAAATGAAGACATTCTCCTGAGAAGAGTGTTTGTTCATCTGAAGACTCAAGTGATTCCATAGAGAGGGGCAGCTGTGCAAGAATCCTGTGATTGTTTTTGTTGGCATCTGGGAACACAAGTCAAGGCTACCAAGAACAGAGTTAGATTAATGAAGAACTCAGATTTTTCAGATGTGGTCTCCTCTCTCCTTCTCCTTGTGAACTCAGACCTGACCATTATGAAGGCGAAATTTTTACATCCTGTCATATGATTCTTACCATTCTTGGGTTGTTTTGCTACTGATTGTGTAAGCCAGGAAAAAGTTGCTCAGAGAGCGCCTGTGTTGGTCATAGATCTCCTGTGATCCAGTATTTCCTAGATAAGCTGTGGCCCCAGAGACCCACATGGACTGGATCCTGATAGGATAGCCCTGATACACTTTTGCTGTAACCAATACTAAATAGTCTGAGCTTACCTGAGCATTAATGAGTCCCCAGAGATGCTATGTCATCACCATACTCTAGACTTGCTTCTACCATAGGGCATTGTCTGGTTTTTCTGTCACAGTTCTAATTAAACTTCTCTTTACTGTTTCAGGTTCCTCTCAATACTTCCCTAGAGGGGCAGCTCATCCTGGGAAAGAAGATAGTCCCTGGCTGCTCCAGGGGGAGAAAGGAGACTTTGATTATGATGATGTGGAACTAAGTGCCTCTGGAACATCTGCAGTGGCTTTTAAAGCTGTTGCATTAAAAATGAGATGAGGCCTCAGATATTCTAATTGTCTATATTCCAATAGAGTAATGCTAACCTAAAATTGAATTTCACTGTATATGGAAACTGCTCAAAATTAAATGTTCAGAATAAAGTATTTTTTCCTTTGTGGATAACTTAGCAAGTTTGATCTGATGGCTCTTAGAGGATTGGTCCTCAATCATTTTCCCTGAGAGGAAATCCAAGGTGAGTAAATTGACCTGTTTTCTCATCTCCCCACAAGCTACCCAAAGCATTACTTTGCATGGGCTCATGGATGTTACAGGTCACTCTTGCTTAGGCAAGTGACTCTAAACTTGGCCTATACTCACAACTTCATTCCTATGAAGAAGAACACATGAAAACAAAACCTAAACTTTCATGTATGCTCCTTCTTAGGATGTATCATCATCTGTTTTTAAACAATTTCTAGATACCAGACTTGGATGTCTGTTTAAAAGTCAAGGATCAAAAATTAGAAGTAAGATAGAATGAACATAGCTTTCCTAATTCTGCCCAATTTTTCATAGAACAATTAAAAATGTAATTCTATAAGACTGTTTCTTCCTTTGTCATCTCTAATTTCCTAGACTACTTTTTAAATTTATTAATGGAGCTCATACAGAGTCCTCACTCTTTTCTCATGTCTAGTTGGTCAAATCTTTTTATTTATTTAAAAAATTTTATCAAAAATTTAATTTTTAAAAATGATTCTAGAGAGAGAGGAAGATAAGGATAAAGAGAAGGAGAGATTCATCAATATAAGAGAGAAACATTGATTGGTCTCCCCTTACATGACCCCCAACTGGGGTCCGAACCTGCAACCCAAACATTTGTTCTTACCAGGAATCAAACCCATAACATTTTGGTTTGCAGGACGATGCCCAACCAACAGAGCCACATAGGCCGGGGTGATTATCAAGTCTTTTTAAATTCAGACTTTCCTCTTCATCACTTCCTCTTATTTCTTTAGGACATTGTCATTTCTTGTGTGTCTAAGTATAAAGCCATCTAAGCAAATTATATCAACTCATCTCTCTTTACTGGAAGTTGATGAAGGACAAATTGGCACTCACCACAAACCTGCTTCTCAATGGGCAAGAAAGCAAGAAAGGGGAGAATTAGGGGAGATCCAGAAGGAATAAAGGCAGAAGAATCAGGAACTTTAAGCAATATGAGTTTTACAGATTGGATGCAGGGGGTCTCACATGTCTCACACGGTTAAACTAAGAGAAGAACAATTTCAGATGAGTGGGCTTCTGCTCTGAAAATATATTGCTTCAGGATTGCTTTGATCTGGTAACTCTTTAAAATGCAAATGTGGTTTTGCTGTGATTCTTCAGGGTAAAGAGATATCATGTAGCAATGACCAAATAAATATTTCCTCTTCAAACACTCCCCCACAGTGTAAATGTGTGGAGGGGTTGCTGAACTAACATAAGAACTGGAGCAGTGGCCTGGTTATGAGCTGAGCCCAACTTATTATTCAGCTGATGGCTCTGGATGCTGTCTGGGGGCCTAAACTATACTCACTCTTGTCATCTTCATAAGTTTCGGCAGGGCATGAGTATTGGAAGATGCCCAGGGCTTCTCCCAGTATAACGTCCATGGTCATTGGTGTAGGAAAGTGGCAAAACAATAAGAAGTATACTCACAAAAATTCTTTGATTTTTACTTCTGAGGCATGGTGTTAATGAAGTCACAGAGAGCTGGCTACTGTAATTTTTGGAGATAAAGATCAGGAAAATTTAAGGAAGAGAGAGTTAGACAAGCTTCACCACCCAGATTTGGGAGAGTTCGAGGACAGGGCTTTCTATGAACTGGGTGCTCAGAAAGCAGCCAGGAATTGGTAAACAGACTTTCGGAGTGTTTAGACTTAGGGAGAATAGCAGCAATCATTTCAAATGACCTCTGTTGCTTATGAATGAGCCTTTTGGGAGGAGGTGATTTTGGAGGATATACCATTCCAGGCTCTGCAACAAGAGCCAGGAAACTTCTCTGCTTAGTAGTAATTATGACAATGCAGCCAGAATGTCATGAATAATGAAAATTGGGAAGACTGATTGTTAACAGATTTTTACTACAAAAATGCTAAAGGAAATTTTTCAGGCTGGAAGTAAATGACAGTAGATGAAAACAGCTCTACGGGAAGTAATGATTAGAACTGTAAATGGCAAACATATGAGAAACTAGGAAAGATCTCATATTCTTAACTTCTATGAAAAATATATGATGATTTGAGGCAAAACTCATAAAGATACAGTACAGTTATCAAAATCCGTGGGAGGTATAACATATGATAGCAGTGCACTGAGTGTGGGAGTAAATAGAAACACATTGTTGCAAAGTTCTTAAGCTTTACCTAATGTGGTACAGTAATTCCTCTAATGAGACTGCGGTAAGACCATGGTGCATGTTCTAATTTGCAGAGGAACAACTAAAAATAGATGTGAAGATATATAGCTAAAAAGCCAGTAAAGGAATTGAACCAGAATATTACATATATTCAATTAATTAAAAAGAAGGCAGGAGATAGAACAAATAGGAAATAGAGAGCAAGTTGGCAGTGCTAAGCCCAATCATATTATAATTGTATTTGATGTAAATGGACCAAATAGTGCAATTAAAAGGTACAAGTTGTCTACTGCACATCTATTAGTGTTGCTAAAATGAGCAATAGTGATCATATCAAATGCTGATGAAGAAGCAGAGAAACAGGTTCTTTCAGACATTGCCGGTGGGAATATAATCACTTTGGCAGTGTCTTCAAAATAACGTGCGCAATGGAATACTTTTCAACATAAAAAGGGATGGTACATACAACAACCGGAATGGGCTTAAAGAATATAATGCTTAGTGAGAAAAGTTGCAGAAGGTGCATCCAAAGGTTATATGATTCTATTTATATAATATCATCAAAATGACAAAACTATACAGATGGGGAACAGATTAGCAGTTGCCAGGTGACAGGGAGGGGGTGAGGTGGGGTGGGAGGGGAATGTGAATACAGAGAGGTAGCATAAAGCAGATCTTTTGTGGTGATTGACTAGTTCTGTATCTTGATTTTGGTCATGTTAGGCTTTTCCTGTATTTTGTATACTTTTTCAAGTTTAATTTTTACTACTTACATGTAAGTATAAACTTAGTACTTTATCCTTAATAATGGAGGAAACTGCTGGGTAGTAAACTGTACTACTAAACTTCCCTGTTGTTTATATTTACAAATGTACATAATCATTATTTTTTATATCATTGCTTGTTTTTTTCTACCACTTACTAATTCTATAGTGGTGAGTGGATTTCCTATTTTATTTATATAATTGTTCACATTTTTCAATGGATATTAGATTTTAATCTTAACTTTTGGACACCCACAAATAACCACCTCCTTTGTAGTCAGTCAGACCCAAAATTAACTCTGCATTTAACAAGCTTATTTCTCTGCAGTCCTTTTGCTTTTTTTTACTCCAGTCACATCACATAATTTTCACAGCCTCTTGTGAAAGACACTCAGCATTTATTTCTGTATGGTTCTTTTCTCAATTGATAGAGGGTGGAGGGTACAAGAATGTTATCCTGCAGATATTCAGTTTATTTCCTTTGTCCCAATTTGGATATTTATTTGAGTTTGTAAATTATGTTCCTGGGTTTATACCTATACAGAAAAAATGTTTCCCAGCTGTTCCAGATCCATCTACCTGACTCTGGCCCAGAGCTGACACTGGGATTTAATGGGTTGATATACACCTAGATCAGAAGAGGTAGTGACAGGAAAATAGTCCTCTCTCAAAGGCTGGTACAACGTCATTCTCTCAAACTTATTTAGAGCAAGAGGATTTTTAGGAACTCAATGACATGGCTTCTTTTTGCCTTATGCTGCTATTCAGAGTCTGAATTTGATTTAGTAAAGAAGTTTTACGTCTCTTTCAATCTTATTTCCTTTCAGTAGGAGCTGAGACTTCTTGAACTGGGGAATTTATTCAATGTTGTATAGTTAGGACAATTACTGAAGGATTAAAACTCAGGTTGTGTCCAGGGAATTATTACCACTTAGAGGCTTTTCTAGCAAGATATACAAAAAAGGGAAAAGTGACGTGCAAAATGACTGAGATCATCAATTAATGAATTTCTCATAGTGCTCATTTGATGATTGAATGAAGTCAGAAATTCTAAAAGTTTATTGCCAGTTAGCTAGAGTGAATGTTGCTTCTGATTGTCCCTTGTGTTTGAAATATGTGACGCACAGGAACAGAATCAACTCAAGTTTTAGCATTTCTGGAGAAAGGAATTGTGCTTTTAAGAGTTAGATAACATTCATTCAAGATACATACCTATTATAAAAAAGTATTTCAGATTTTCTTGAGGATTGGAAAGATGGCGGAGGAGTGAAAGGGAGTCACGCTGACCTCCTCCCAAAACCAAACTGGAATTGCAACTAAATAATGGAGTAATCACCTGGAAAGCAGTGGAGCGATAGTGGGAGAGGAGCCTTGGTGCCGCGGACAGTGGATTCTACTCTCACACATCCCAACGGGTGAGAATTGCGGTGGAGGCTCGAGAGGGTGGGCTGGGTGCCCACGGGCACTGGCACCAGAGGGACATTGAAACGGCCAGTTAGCTCCCCCCGAGAAGAACGGGGTCTGAATCATAAACAGGAACCCCTAAACTACAGCAGCTAAAGCCGAGAAAATACAGACAAAACGCAACCCTAAAAAGCTTAGGGGTGCTCTCTGCCAGAGACAGGTGGCTGGGGATGCAAAAAGACATTTCAAGGGCAAACGCAAAAGTTGCAGCAGCAGCCACCCTCCTTGATCGCTGGGTAGAGGCGGCAGCAGGGTGGGCTGGTGCCTGGGAAAAGACTGGTGAGGAAAACTTTGTGAAGAGAACTGACACAGCGGCCAGTGGAGCCCGGGTGATAACGCACTTCCCACTCTGCAGCTACCATCTCGCTCAGGCATAAGGGAATCAATTAACCTGCCTTTTGTGCGCTCTGCACACAGCTTGTGCGCGT